GCACTCATCCAACTACGATCCATTCTGTTAATACATAAGCAATTTTGAATATTTTAATTCAAGACCAATATCAACAAAATTTTAATTCAATTTAGCTTAATTCTAAGAAAATTAAAACAATTCAAAACTAATAGAAGCAAACAAACTTACTTGCAAATTTTGCCTTACAAATTTTGAAAATTTTTTGGCAAAGTTTCCCCTTAAAAGTAACATATAGAAAAATTTCAACAATAAATCAATTCAGCTCAATTTCAACAAAATTTTCATAAAGTGCAGTAACAAAATGCTTCTATTTTAGCTCAAATTCATAGCTCATACACATGGGCATTTCATTAAGCACCTAAAGTGCAACAATAAAATCTCAAAAATCAATATCCCATCATAATTCATGGCTACTAATTCTAACAAGTTAAATAGCAACAAGTAAACTACCAGCACACTTATTCATTCTCAAATTCACATCATATATCGTAGGCATTTCCTCAAACATTTAAAGTACAACATTAAAATATCAAGAATTCAACTTCAATTAGATTCTAACATTAAAATCTCAAAAATTCAAGCTTCAAGTTATTAACCAACTTTAATCATACCTTATATCAAGAAGAAGTCAAGCTAAAATACACCCACACAATGAGCTACAGCAACAATGACCATGGCTAGACCTATGAGCTACAGTTACCCACAGCGACCCACCACAAGACCCACAGTGAGAACTGTAATAGCGACGAAGACCTACCATAAGACTCATGAGAGTAGTGTCATGTCCGGAATTTTTAGCCTAGAAGTACCATAATTAGTTTGAAATGGGCAAACTACCAGACCCCTTTTGACAGAGGTCCCAGAGGTTCCCTAGAGGGACAGAGAGATTCTCTTTTCTGGGACTAAGAGAAAGTGAGAGATTCCAGTGAAGTCCCAAGGTCCAAAAATGAGAAATAGAGATGAATGTAGGGCAAAGACAATGTTAGAGGCCTCAATGAGGTGAATTATGGGGTAAAGCCGAACCAAGGGCAAAATTGTAATTTTGTAAAGTTTCAGGCTAGTTAGGACAAACATGGAAATTATGCCCAAAAATTCCAGAAAAATTCCAAAAAATGGAAAATGGCATGTTAAGGCCTATATATGAAGAAAAATGTCAAAATTCCCTTGGATTGCCTTTAAATAAATTTTAAAGATTATAACTCATTTTGAGGTATAAAGCTAGATTTAATTATTTAAGCCATGAAGAGGGCTAAGAAATGTAAGTAAAAATGGGAATTCATGAGTTAAGAGGCTACAGAAAATTTTAAAATTAGCCTCACCCCCAAAAGACCAGCAAAATAGCTTTAAGAATATTTAAGAGCCAATTATGCCAAAAAAGAGCAATTTACGGGAAATTTAAAAAGAAATGCCCACGGATCAAGTTATGGACTGAGAAAATTCACAAATTTTCTCTAAAATTTGAGGAATTTTATGATATTTTTGGAAGAATTTTTGGAGCTCTGGATTGAATAAAATGCTCTAATTAAATATTAAATAATTTTTGTCCCTTAAATAGGAGGAAAAAAACCAAAGAAAATATCTAAAGGCCATTATGACGGCGCTGAGTCAGCGTACTAAGTCGCCAAGTGCAATTATGAGACCTCTAAGTCAGCGTGCTGAGTCATTAAGGAATATTTATGGACAATATAAAAATCAAAACATAGTACGGATATATTTTAGACAGTCCTTTGTCTACTTGTTATAGTGAAATCTCTACTGCATCACTCAGTAAGGCTAAGTAGCCTTTCAGTAAAGATAATTATTTTCTTCTATGCACCTCTAAGGTGACACCATATGTGGATTTATTTGAGGTGAGAAAATGGGGTGAGAACATGTTCCAGTGGTCCCAGGGAAGTTAGGACCCGAAAAAGTACTCGATACGATACAGAATGGCAAGATAGGTAGAGGAATGTCTAAGGGTTATATTTTGTATGAATTTTATATTAATTTTCTCCATATTTTAATGCTAAAATGATGAAGGGACATGGAAGAGACAAGTGTATGATTAGATGAAAGACAAGTATACAGTTGGATGAAAAACACTTGTACAGTTAGATGCAAAACACGTGTACGGTTCAATGCAAGACACATGCACGGTTGGATCAAAGGCATGTGAATTGATGATGTAAGTATGATGTAAACATGATGTCATGAGAACACTTGTCACTGCAAGACAAAGAGGGGAAAATGGATGGCCAAGATTTAATCTTGTAATTTTTAAGATCAATGGCTAGGATTGTTCTTAAACTCTATAAATACCCCCTCCCCTCCCCTCATTTTCATCCAAGGCTCTTGGAACCTTAGGGAGACTCTTCTAAAATAGATTCTAGAGAGAGAAAGGCTAAGTGGTCATATGCAAGATCAAGCTCCAAAACAAGGTAAGTTCATGGTTTTTGATGTGGTTTTCACTACTCTTGTTATTGAGCTTGGTTATGGATTTTAATAGTTTTTGGGAGCTTGAAACCCTTGTGGGGCATGCTGCACGAAATCATTAAGTGTGAGGCGAGATGAAATTGATGTTAGATTATTGTTTAAAGATTTGAAAGGAACAAGAATCAAGTGGTTCTAGCTTTGTACTAATTGAATTCCATGACTTTGGAACCAAAGAGGATGCCACGGCCTGACTGGTTCTTGTGCCTAGGATGTGATTTTGATGATTTTGATGCTTTCAATGTGTTTAAAATGAAAAATTGTGTAGAAATAAGATGAAAGAATGAAGTAGAAAGTATTGGAATCAAAACTGAAATTTAAGTGGCAGATTTTGGTTTTGGCCTAGAACCAGGGGAAGGAGTTGGATTTTGATGAATCTAAGCTTATATTTGGATTCCTTGGGCAAAATTGTGTAGGATTGGCCTAGTAAGTAATGTGACCCTTGTGACTGTGATTAGGATCTTGAGACATCCAAGAGGAAAACTCTTATTTAGCTATTTATTGCTCTTATGCAGTCAACAGTAGGGCTATTCACAGGGACAGGATAGGAAATCTGTCCCATGTCCCGTGCTTTCCCAATGTTGTCCCAGTCCCAGTCCCAGTAGGGATGAGACCAAACCGGGACAGGACCAAGATGTTCCTTTTTTTAAAAATATTTTTTGCTTTGTGGTTGGAACTATTGTAATAGATTTTAATTGTTTTTCTTATTTTATTTTTAATTCTTTAGGCTTAGCCCTTCTGAAAGCATCTTTTTTTCTTTTGTATTTGTTTGGGCTTAGCTCTTTTAAAAAAAATTCAAATAAAAATAATCAGTAATGCAATAACTCTAAAATTCATTTTCACCATTCCAAAAATCATAAGCAACTATAAAAACTCTAAATAAATAATAGCCATTCAACTACATATGTCTTGAAAGCTACAAATATCAACATTTTGTATTACATATGCCTTAAACATTTTTTATTTTTAACATTTAATAATTATTATATGATAAAAAATAAAAAATATTACTACCGGGATGGAACGACCCCATCACGTGTCCCGTCCTGATTCCTTTTTTTGTCCCGTCCCATCCCGTCCCGTCCCAATATGATCGGGACTAGGACGAGCCTACTTGAACGCCCCTAGTCAATAGTTAGATGAAGGTAGTCATTGTATCTCTAAAAATAAAAGTAGTTGATAGCGAAACTAGAGTTATAATAGTTAAATAAAAATAGTCAATAGGAGTATGATGTCATTTCGCAACATTTTAAAATTTCAAAACAATACAAGAGGTCTGATTTGATATTTTAAAATTCATCAACCTAATTTATTCTATAACATTTTTTAAGGATATTTTTGTGTCTTTTCCCTTTAAACCAAGCAGCGATCTCATTGGATAATTGATAAAGGGAATGGTTTATCTCTTTATTAAATAAAAGATAAACTAAAAATTCCAATTGAATGATTAATTGAAGGAACAATTACAAACTAGACTGAGTTCAATTCGTCCGGTGTAAAACATATGGGCGTGCAATTGGTGAAAAATTAGAAATGCATATTAAAGAAATTTTAAATTTTTTGTATAATGAATACAAATAAGTTGTTTCTCCCCCAACACAAGCTGAAAGGGAGTCATTGTAGGACACACAAGAAGAATTTTATGATGATGATAACCTCGGTGGAAAAATTAGAAAATCACTTGATAATTAGGAGCAAATATGATGGATGAGTTTTTAGCTGGAAAACTATCACAATAAAATAACTTTTTAGTTAATGCAAAATTCCTCTTTTCATTGGGGGGGGGGGGAAGAAACTTTACAAGGATAGTGCTACATTTATGGTGATATATCAAGTCAATTTGCAAAAGAAGAGCATTGTAGGCAATTAAGTTGTTTGTTAATCAACAATACGAGAATACCTTGTTATTTATAGGGTTAAATAAAGTGTAAATTTTTACTCAAAGAGGTACCCAAAAATTTTATGTGTAAATTTACTCCCAAAAGTTTAAAATCATAATAATATTGCTATTTACGGTTTAAAAAAATTAATATTGACCGTTAAAATAGTTACATTAACTGCTAACATTTTTAATTTTTAATGATAAAAGATAATATTACTATAATTTTAAACTTTTAAAGAAATTTCACATCAAAAAAAATTTTCTAAATACCCATTGCTCTTGAGTATAACTTCTGAAACAAATTTACACTTTAACTCTTACTTATCTTCAATTATAACAAGATTTGCTGTTGGCTCTTCATCAAGGATCATGGCTGTTGCAAGGCATAAATTTGCAGTTTTAAAGGTTTGGATTAGAGTAATTGGGATATAATACATTTATACTTATGAGATGGCCTATCAAGTGCGATTGCCAAATGGGGAGCCGTTGGTATGGGTCCTAATTACAGTTAATGTGATGGGGCAAGATCTCAGCCTAATTAACACTGGTCTCGTTGGGGCTGTAATTAAGCTCAGTTAAAACAAAGACAAGCCAGTAAGAAAGTCAGTTTGAGACTCTGCAGACTTCTCCAAAGCCACGTGGTACAGTGCATGAAGGGGATGATGTGTTATTTGGAGGAGAAGCAACCAAGAGAAAACTTCCACGTGGCACAATAAGAAAGTTCTGAAAATTATATGACATGAAAAAAATTCAAGTAGCATACAAATAAAGGGCATTAGCCTTCAAATTTCAGCATGACTATGGATGCTTAAAAATAATCTATAGAAATTTCTAAATCTTCCAAAACTGAACCACATTTTTCGTCGCAGATGATGATGAGTTGATGACTCACTCATGCTTAGCCAGATTCTTGGAATTTGCTTGCTCTACACTTCTGAAAAGTGAAGCGCATGTATGGTGGCGGATAATCATAACAAGAACGAAAGTGTTGGCTGCCAGAAACAGCAAGCCTGCCGCCCAAAGCTGTAAGAAGACATTTTTACCCTTGAACTCAAGAAGGTAACCCCACAATAACCAATGGGTCTGAGCTCCAATCCATAAAAGAATGCATGAGAAGCCCTGCCATTTGAGTTTCATCTTACTCCATGGAAGTATTAGAGGCAACAAGCAAAAGAACCAAACAAAGTACTGTGCCGTAATCACCTGCAACAAAAATTATGTAACAGTGCAGAGATCAGATGGGCATATTGAAGGACTCGCATGTATGGAAGCTTGGGATTTGAATCCTCTGTATTCCATAAAGAGAAAGGTTCAGATAAAGATATCAAAAAGTGAAGTCCTGTAGCATGCAGCCTCTTTGATATATCAAGCCTTTTCTCCCTCGAATTTTTACTCTTGTTAAGAGATGATCATTTGTCAAATCAAATAAAATAATATAAATCTTGTGGCAACAAAATAGAAACCAAACAGTACAAGGCTTGTCGGATCCACATTGAATAACACAACTAATCAAGAGGCTCACATGAAGTATTTGTCTCTTTAAAAATGACAATGCTACTTCCCTCGGGAAATTTAAAGGATCCCAATCCACAAGCATGATCCTTATGTAAGCCAAAAAGGGCTTCAACATAAAAGTTGTGCTTGGAATAATTAAGCTCAATTTCACTGAAATTGTATTAACTTGAATTGGGTAAAAAGTAATTGAGCGGAACTATTTGAATCAGGATTTCATTTTCCTTTAGATTATAAATGAACGAACCTTATTAAATGCTACAAATGCCACGGTCTGCACAAAAAGGCAAAACGGCAAGTCCTGCGCGATGCTGAATATAAGAACTAGTTGCACCACAAATTGCGGCAAAAAGGAGATTAGCTTCTCCACCATTGAAGTGTTATTGCCGTAATTAAGATATATGTGATAGAAATAGATGGAGAAGTTGTGCCTCGGATCTGTACGAGTAAGATGGTACAGCAGCGCCTCATGTAGGAATTCCCACCCATATAGATGGTAGAACACACCAGTACAGAGGAGAAAAACGATCCCTGATATTAGTCCAAACATTAGCCTATCCCTGGCAAATATGCTTTTCAATAGATTATATAAAAAACATTTATCCCCATCCTTGGGTTTTTCTCCTTCAGTAGCACTCCAGACCCTTAAGACGGGTTTCTGACCAGATTGGAAGCAGGCCGGATCAAGAACCAGCAATATGGGAATGGAATATATAATAGGGTAAATCCTGAAATGGACAACAAGTCCGTACCAAAATGCTGACTGTGCCACATTACCTGCAAACCAAGGCCAGGAAAATTGCCAAAAAAAGGGCATCAAAAGAAATGAAAGCGAAAATGAAAAGGATCAAGAGGAATGCAAAGATTTAATTTTATTCCATCAGCAAATTATAACAAGGATTTATTTGGTGCATGATGCATCAACCAAAAGAAGCCTGATAATCAATACATCTGGACCTTTCAATTTATATATAACAAGAAAGCAAATGATTCAAAAGCCAGGGAAAAGGCAGTCTGAGTTTATTCCGTGTGTCAAGAAATGTTTTAACTTACATACCAACTTTCTGAACTTTTTTCATGCATAATAGGAGAGGAGAATAACAGAACAGGGATGAAATTATAAAGGAATGCAGGTTATAACTTTTGTCTCCTGGCGTCTAGCAAAAATGGGGAAATGGTTGAAAACACTATATTTCAAAATCTATACATTGCGCATTCAACTTGTTTTAAAATTTCCTTCCATGTTTGAGATGATATTTGTCAAGCGTAGATGAAAACTAGTGATCAAACCATTTTCATTCCAACATTTGATTCCAAATGGCACAAACTTACATATGTATACTATGCTTCCTAATTGCGCCCAAGTTTGTTACTCAGAAGAGCACCTAACACCACAACGCCACTACAATGACAGAGCACACTCCCAATTCCAAAACTACCCCTACCCCCCACCCAAAAACCAACAAAGACATTAAGACACATAAAGCCAACATGCATCACATATATTCATTTTGGCTTCTTATTTCAAATTCCCTTTGATGCAGAACAAAATAAAGTCACAAAATAAATTACCCTAAAACCAAATTTACCATCACTCCTACTCCTGTTCACCAGTTCCCCCACCCCCCTTCCAAATAGCAGGCGAGGTAATAAAAATACACCAAGGCAACGATCATCATACAAAATAAGAAATCAAGCCTTGGTAGATCACAATTAGGGGACTCTATACAGTCTAAAAGAAAACCGGTATAGTTGGGCAAATGAGCATTGTCTGCAGCACAAAAAGGTTGATAGGAGGAAGCAAAGTGGAAGGACACATCAAGACAGATGAGAAGGATTTCTAGAAGAAATTTGTTAAGCTGAAGGTTAAAAAGAGACTTGGTAAGAAGTAGGAAGATAAGGGGAACTTCGGTAAGTGTTGGTAAAGAGTCTAATCGTTGTGCAGATGGGATAATTTTTTTCCTTTTATTGCTTCTTATGTTCTCTTTTGTGGGTGATATTTTAGTTTTGATAGTGAACTACAGGTTTCCACCATACTCAAAACTAATTCCCCCCATTAGATATCTTAGAAAAATATATATAACCATCATTAGATATCTTAGAAAAATATATATAACCAAATAATGGTTAGCAACAACTAATAACCCATTATTAAAGCCAATAACCAATAACAGATTAAAAGATTGACCAGCTATATCCATGAATTTAATATCACCACAGTATCAATTTAACGCTAATAGAAAAGCAGAAACATACCATTCATAAGACATATGATGATCCACAAGACCAAAGCACAAACGATGGGCTCACAGTTCCCACGTGTCCCAATGGTGAAGGTAAATGGATTGAAGAGCCATGTCATGACACAATAGTTGCATAGATTTTCAGGCACCTTACGCTGCTTCAAAATATAATGTATGAAGTATCCCACAAGTATGTCTGAATTTTGAACATGATAAGATGTTCTTAGATGTAATGAACCCACAATTGAAAAAACTGTCAGCTAGGCCTTCTCAATATAAGTATAGGGATTTGGACTTGATGCAGAGGTATAAAATCTATAAAAGATGACCGTTACTGAATATTACTAGCCTTGAAATTACAACCTCACCTTGTGCCATAGGCAAACCTTCCAACCATAAAAGGTCAAACAAGTTGCAACAAGCACAAGGCTTGTGAGCAGATGGCATTTAATGTGTGCATGATAATTATTACATATCCAATTGATCTATTCTTAAATAAATGCCCCCACAAATCAACATTGTCAAACAGGGATTGGACACATCCTTAGGAATACAAAATAAAAATCTTAGTTAGAAAAGCAATAACCACTTCAATTCAGTATATCAGTCATAATTGTCTGAAGAAACTAAACGTTGAAATGTTTTCATACCTGATGCTGAGAAGAGAAACTTTCCCCATGATCGATGGATGATAGAATTGGGAATAAGAAGAAATGCAAGTAAGGGGGAATAGCGATAGGTGGTCCTCTTATAAGGGGAATCACCCACAGCCACATAAGATGCAGCATCCGAAAATACAAGGTAGTCAACATCGGTGTATCTAACCTCCAAATGTGTATCTTGCCATTCTCCATATAGAATTAAAGCCACACGGAAAAAGATAGAGAATACAAGCAATGAATAAAAATTTATGGTCGGCATCACTGAAAGAGAATAAATACCAAAACTTGTCAGCTTCAGAATTTCAAAAACCTTAACTGTAAAGGAAAATTCAGACATCATCGAGATCAACTAAATAAATAGAAAGAATTCCACATTACACCAATCATCCAGGAACAAGCAACTGATACCAAAGTGCATCAAAATGAGAAATCACTGAAACTCAAACTCTTAAAACAGAAAAAGCCAAAAAAAAAAAAAAATCCAACTTAGATTGTGGGACCAAAACTTACTAGCTATTGATTTCAGGTTGCTAATTGTTCATGGGATAACCAGAACATAATAAGGGAAAAACCTGTGCTGCTTCCGCACAAAAACTCAATATCAATTCTCCTTCTTCTAGGGTTTCATGGACTTAGATCTGCAATGGAACCCAAGCTTGTTCAAATATGATTATACAACCCAACTAGCACTGGTACCTGCAGAGACTAGTAACGTAGCCTGTAAATTGACATCCTATGTGCCCACCAAACAAGCTTTAAAAATTAGTAAACTAAGCATACAATAAATTACATACATTCAATATTCAGTCTGTTTGTACAAGTGTTCAGTCAAATATTAATCGTTCAGGTAAGTTTCATTCAGTAGGATAGAGCGCATTCAATTTATTCCACCTCTTGTGATCCAAGTTTGTGCTCATACCAATCAAAAGAGCTGATATTCTTTAGCTTCTCAAGGAACACTAAGGGTGAGCATCAAGTTAAGGAATTATAGCAATGAATTTTCACCATAAGATTAGCATTAATATGTAACAACAAACAACAACAATTAAATGTACCATTTAATCTTATCATTAATTTGACAGTATGGAAATGAAGGCTGTAAAAAAATTCAGCCAAGACTTACATTTCCACAATCATGAAACCCAACTTACAAAATTAAAAAGCCAGGAAGACCAAGATACAAACTGAGTAAACATTTGCTACATTCTTAATCAATCAAGACTCAAGACTTTTCCCAACTACTACAAACCTAGTGCATTCCAAGATAGAAAATCAAGTACCATAATCACTAGACTCCAACCAGCTCACAATGAGATATGCAACGACAGCCCACGAAGACGACAGACGATTTGCGGAAAGCAGAGGGACTGAGGACTAGAACATCGGAGAAAGCTAGAGGGACTAAGAGGTCTAAGCCAGGCTAAGGCTTCTTCATCATCACAAATGCCAACAGGATTGAGGTTGAGCGCGGCTTTGATCTCAAAAAGGGGGGTGGTGATTTGGAACCGGTCCAGAGCAGAAGCAGAGTCTGCTTTTCGCAAGATCCAATGGCTGCAACTGAATACCCAGATCCAACGGTTATAATTTAACTCCCCAGAATCAGTGGTTTTAGTAAATAATTATGGGTTAACGATAAGATCTATCTCTGTTTCATTGGCAGGGAGGAGTTGAGGCTGCGGGAGTGAAGGGGCAACCCAAAGTTAAAGAGTACAGAAGCAAAAATCTGGGTTACATGCTATATAGGCACAGGACGACCTCCCTTTGTTGCTTTAAGAGCTGATATGAATGCTTTTCTGTTCACGGATTTGAATTCTTCCCAGTAAATTCTCTTCTTATATAATTCCAATAGATAATGATCCTTCGCTTTTGAGATGGATCTAAATGATGTTACTTATATATTCCAACTAGGAGGAGACTGAAATGCCTTCCCCTCTTGCCAACCTTAACATAGCTCACTGTTTGTATATGTGTACTAGCAACCCGGTTCCTAAATTATTGGAATTGTCTAACTTGAGTTATAAGAATATATAAACGTAGCCTGTGGTTCGATCCGGTGCATTCAGAGGGTTAACAAGTCACGGACAAATGGCCTCACAGAGCATTCACCCAAATCTGACGAGAATGTCATTCTATTTCATAAACAACTGAGTAGACGGTATTGAAGGAGAGAATAACGTGGGCAAGGAAAACAAAAAGGAGGCCTTTTATCAAGTAGGTGTTGATTTATTACAATAGTTGGAGACTTGGAGTAAGGAGAAGTTGCCTTCCCTCGCAAAAGAAAATTATTATCCTCTCGTGAAAATTTCCAAAAACAAATTTTTGGCTTAGGCAGAATTATGCAGTGAGATTTAAACTTTTTGCAGAGAGAACATGCTCCTGATTATGATTACGTTGTGCTTAACCTGATTAGGAAGATAGAAGAAAAAACGACCGAAGAAATGGTGATTTCACACGAGTAATACTGAATTAGTGGAAACGAAGAAGCGAAGAACAGAGTGCGCAAATGGGAAATTTGAGGATACGCAAATTAACATCTCATAGCTGTCCATGAAGCACACGAAAAATATTGGTAACCAATGTCAAAACAAAGTGTGGGCCAAAACCAAACAAATAGATGCCCCAGAGCGAGATAAGAAACCCAATTTGGCTTTCATTTTCTGGGGAATCTGTTCAATACTTATGTACTACTGTTTTACAATGAATCTATTAAGGACAAAGGAGTCTCAGTTTTAGGAATGATTGGAGCAAAACAAAAGATCTGAAGAAAAAAAAAGAAAATTAGCCTACAATGTAATCTCCAACGTTTCCAGCGACAAAGGAGATCTGATCTTTCTTCAAACATCTCTTAATCTACCCTCTTTCAGTTTCAGGTCTCTATATAGCACTTATCAGTTCGGTCTAGACTTGGCCGTTCGGAGGCACGATGCGCCGATGCCAGGCATCCAAAAGGACGAAATTTCCTATATACAGATTGGCGCGCTTCACATTGACTTACAAAAATTGAGCGGGAATGGAACAATTTTTCAAAAAATAAGTTGAAGAAATGCACCTGAAACGCCGACGCCGTAGCCGAACAACGCGAGGCCACTGGCAGCGGCCATGAAACCTGAAGTGACGGCCATCAGAATGAGAACAATTTTACATATAGTCCCAACAAATAATTACATGTTGCCCAGACACTTCACAACTCGTTTTTTTTCCGCTCAATTTAAAACTTATCTTTTGTCAAGAATTAAAAATACCTAGTCAGTAAATCAGTATATCTGCACTAATATAAAATGCTAATATGAGATTTTATATATTTAAGAGTATTTTCTTATAAAAAAGAGTTATTAATTAGTCTCTGTTTTTTCCCTTTTTCTTGAGTGATTAATTCGTCCTTTTTATATTTTGAAGATGCTTATATTGGATTTTTCCATAATCAAATTAGTCATTTTATATTTTTTAAAATAAACTACAAGGCTAAAGTATACATTTGGTCTCTTAATTTTGTACAAGATTTCAATTTCGTCCTTTAACTTTAAAAAGTATACTTTTAGTCCTTTTAACTCTAAAATTTTTTTAAAAATAATGATATTAAGGTTTTAAATATTAATAAAATATTCTCAAATGCTAATATATTAAGTTTATTTTCAAAACATCTATGATTGTTACAGAAAATCATCATTAAAGCTTAATGATTTTAGGGTTAAAGATCAATGTATCCTTTTTAAAGTTAAGAGATCAAATTAAAACATTATATAAAAATAAAGGACCAAATATATACTTTAGTTTAAACTACAATTTACAAAACCGATAGATACACAGAGTTGAACATTTTTTTCAAATTTAGTACTTATTCATAAATTTATATTTTAGTTTTATCCATTCAATTATAATTAGAAAAATGAAAAATATTTGGATATCCTCTCGTTAATCCTCTTATTCCTTTTATTATTATAATCGTTTCTATTTCTTAGATTAAAACAATGCATGGTTCAAACGCAATATTTATAAAACTATTGTTAAATATTTTATAAATTATTTTTTTTGTACCATAGATATAAATTATCCAGCTTAAATTTGAGTAGTGTAAATTTATTTTTTATATTTTAATATATGATAATAAGATTTTATAAGATATTACATCTAAACTATTCATTTTTTATCTAAAGGTGAAAAAAAGGATTATGACGATCTAAATCCAAGTAAGGATTGAAGAGGCGATTTTTTGGCTTTGCCAAAGATTGAAGAGCGATTGAGTTACGAAAATAGAAGAGAATTTCTTCCCAATAATTTTATTTTTTCTGAATTTATTCTTTAAAATATATATAATTGTAACAATACATGTTTGTAATAATTATTTTTAACTATCCTTTTCATTATTATGTTTAGTTATCTTATCCTTTTTCTATTTATCTTGTATTTTAATTGTATGTCCTCTTTTTTCATCAAAGTTGCATTTAAATTTTTCAATAAATTATAATTTTTTCAAATTGCATGACTAAACATCAGCGAGTTAGTTATCATATGGATATAGAGACAAATCTTAAATTTTAAAATAAGTTAAAAATTTAAACAAAGTAGCGCAGCAATTATTGGATAATTGATAAAGTGAATCGTTTATCTCTTTATTGAGTTCATAATAAACTAAAATTTTTAAATGAATGATTAATTCCATAAAAAATATATCACTTAATTAGGTTTATTTTCAACAATTGTTTTTCATTATCCCTTTTATATTTTTTTGTAACTTATCGGCATCTGGTTCACAGTTTTATCTATATAGATATATAATTAGAAGAATTGAACTATATAAAACATTATATATTATCAATAGAGATATTTTATAAAAAAATTATAAATTTGGGAGATAGGGTGAATCCAAACGTTATAAATAGTTAGAACAAAATAAACTCCTAATACAACTTTCTGGAGATAGTATAAGAAATCTTGGGCCAATCTAACTGAATTTTCTCTTCCCGTGGGTCACCGTGTGGCAGAGAAATTGAAAACACATGAAGAAGAATAGTGTCATCGGAAGGAAGAGAAGAGGGGAGGAGGAAGTGATGTGGAAGGCGCCCGAGGAAGGTTGGTGCAAAATGAACGTCGAAGGTGCTTGCATCATCGGCGCCTCCGGCACTCAGCTCGTGGCTTGCGGCGGACTCCTGAGAAATCAAGAGGGAACCTTCCTACAAGGCTTCATGATGAACACTTGTGAACTTAGCTCCGATACCCATCATGCTCGACTCTGGAGTTGTTTATTGGGATTAAAGATCGCTTGGAACCTCGGCATTCGTAAGCTTGTGGTGGAAACGACGGACCCCGCGGTGGTGCAAGCCGCCATGCTGCTGTCAGGAGATCTAGAAGAAAGCTCAAATCGCCGGTCGGTGGCGGAGCCTGTGGAGATGGAGATTCAACAGTTGTTGGGGAGAAGCTGGGAGGTCAGAGTTTTGGGGGTTAAGAGTGAATCGAATGTTGCTGCTTGTAACTTGGCTGAGACTGCAGTTTCGTGCGTGCCGGGTTTTCATACGCTTCACTCTTTGCCTCACCATGTTCATGAGATCGTGCTTCAAGAAGCTCCCCCACTACGGAATATTAAAAAAATTAAATAAAATGAATTACAACTAATTATCGTATCGTGTACTATAACCAACATGATCGTATCCAATATCCATATCTCTTTGAACCTCTAATGTCAATTTTTTCGAGACATTTGTGAAAAATTTTATTTGTAAGTTATTTATTTTTATAATACCATCTGGTATTTGACACTTTTTCTGATTTTATTACCAAGTGTTTGAGTAGTTAATCTAGTTCAAGGTTCATGATTGCCCCTCCTAACACACTCATTTGTAAGGTATTATTATCATGCTATTTATATACTTCCAATAAAGTTGGCGCATGTGAGGTATAGATGAAATACTTTTTAATCATGATTTACAAAATACAAAATAAATTTATAAAAAGTTTTGTCCCGAATCATGTAAATGTGATTATAAATGTTTATATTAAATAGCTTCAAACAAGTTCAAATTCTCGTTCTGCCATTTCAATGCAGCATGAGATAAATTTTTTTTTTCACTTTTTCCTTTTCTTTTTGACAAAAAATTGT